GCTCGGGTTCAGATCAGGGAGGCCGTTCCTCCCAATCACGCCCCTCCAGGTCTCGCTGTCGTTACCCACGTGAGCATTGAAGTCTCCCAGCAGGACAACAGAGTCTCCAGGTGGAGCACCTTCCAGCAGGACTATTTACTTTATCAACATTATAGTATTATAATGTTTTACATACAGCACATGTTTACATGCTTATATTCTGCAGTCCTGGGGGATTTCTGAGGAAATCAGCAGAAAGAAGCTGCATCAAAAACAAACTGAAAAACTGCTTCAGAGACTTCACCTTCTAGAGAAACTTCAACAGAAGTTTTCACCAGCAGAAATTCTCCAAATTCGTCCAACTGTGAAACAGCACCATGTTACATCTGAGAAAGATATAGCTCACACTTTTCTTCACAGGCTTACAATGTTAGACTACAGGGCCAGAATAATTCCTGTAGGACACAACAGCCCGGCCCATCCAAAGAAGGTTCAAGTGACTGACATCACTGGGAATAATTTTAATGATTTATTGGCTTTACTGTGCGCCAGTGTTGCGACAGAACAGACTCATGTGCATCCAATGGACGTTCAGATGGCAGTATTTCACTGCTCAGACAGCTTCCTGAAACAGATGATGATTACGAAGCTCTCTCAGTGTCAGTATGCCTTACCTTTACTTGTTCCTGACCCAGTTACAAAGGAGATTCAGTTTCCTCTGTGGACTTTCAGAGAAATAACAAAAACTTGGAGGGTAAATCAAATTAAAGATAACCCAAACATCGTCACCATGAAGAGTGTTCCAGTCTACAAAGCTGAAACACCCTTGGTGTCATTTTTCCGTCTGGGTTCTTTGTCAGTGTCCAAATCTCAGCTGATGAACACTTTGATCAACAACCGTCACGAAACCTTCTTCCACAGAAACTGCCCAGGAAGCACCAAGTCTCGCTATTTGATGGATGGTGTGGCAGAGATTGCCTGGTACTGCCCTGCTGGAAAACCCAATGATGCCTTCAGTGACTGTATTGCCTTTTGTGATCTCCATGGTGATGCTCTGTTGATTGAAAAACAGCGTGACATACTGATTGAAAAATCCTCCATCAGTATTTTTCTTATGGCATCTCTGCAAAACAATGAACAAAGCTGGTCACTTATATCATCTCTTTTTAAGTCTCATAAGCCTCTCATTTGTCTCACTGTTGATGGCAGCTGTGATGCTGTTAAGACAAAAAAGGGAAAGTACATAATGGGCCTCAAAGACAGAAACCACTCAGATGTATCTGAACACTTGAAAAGGATCATTACAGAAGTTTTGTCTTCTCTTGATGGTCCCATCTTGAAACCATCCTTCCAGCTTGAAACCATGGCTGAGCTCTCTGGAATCAGAGTGGATGAAACTGACCCAGCCTGTCAAAGAGGGAAATCTGCTGCTATGAAAATAATCAATCTGCTTACAAAGGATAACATGGATGTCTCAAAGATCAAAGATGAATTTCTCCCTTGTCAAGGCCAACTGTGGCATCAGTGGAGCAAAACACACAGAGAACTGTTTCATCTCAGAGGAGGCGCTGAAAAGGAGAAAAGTCAAAAGCAACAAGAACTGATGAACATACGTCAGAAACAATGTGCTGCTTCCTGCAGTAAACTGATGGAGTTGTTCACTGGAAGTCTCTCATCATTGCCAGGAACAGACAGAGAGTATTTCCTAAAATGGACTCAGATCTTCATAGATGCCCTCTCCACAGATGATCTTTCTTCAATTCTCCAAAGTTATGATGAAAAGTGGTCTGAGGTCTTGGCTTTGAAGAACAAACATGACAAATCAGATCTGTTATTAAAAACACAAACTGAACTTGAAGACATATCAAA